CATGTCTAGATGGCTTCATGGGAGAGTTCTACCAAACATTTAAGGAAGAAATAATTCCAAATGTACACAAGTCACAAAAAACTGAAGAGTAGGAATACTTCCCAAATTCATTCTTTTGCTCTTAAGAAGACCTTTTTTGTTGTTGTGAATATATCTATCACTTTTGCCAATTCAACTTTTTACAGGTGTACAACCTATTGACAGCAATTACAATAATTGGCTGTGTTCAGACGACTCTTAAAAGAGCAAAAAGGCAAGCCACAAATTGGATAAAATATTTGCAAAGCTTATATCTGATAAAGAACTTGAATCCAGAATGTGTAAAGAACTCTTAAATAATAATAAGGTATGATAAGAATAATTAGATAATTATTAAAAAAATATTAAAAAAGTAAACAACCCAAAACAGGAATAGGTGAAAGATTTAAACAGACAGTTCACCAGAGGAGATCTGTAGATGGCAAATGCGCACTTTTAAACTTGCTCAAAGTCATTAGTTGTTTGCAAAATGCAAATTAAAACCGAAATGAGATATCACTATATACCTAATAGAATGGCTAAAATTAAAAAAAGATTGATCATAGCAAATGTTGTCAAGGATGTGGTGGGGCTGCTGGTGGGGATGTAAAATGGTACAATCACTTTGGAAATCAGTGTGGCAGTTTTTTGTTTTTTGTTTTTAAATCAAACATTTACCTACCATACGATCCAGACATTCAACTCCTAGGTATTTACTCAAGAGAAAAGATAGCTTATGTCTGTATGATTGTAAAGATGTAGTTACCAATGTTCACAGCATCTTTATTTGTAATAGCCCCAAACTTGAGACAATCCAAATGTCCATCAACAGGTAAATGGGTAAACAAACTGTGGTATGCCCAGATAACTTTTCAGCAATAAAAAGGAATGAACTATTGATACAACAGCAACGTGGATGAATCTTCAAATAGTTACGCTGAGTGAAAGAAGCCAGGAAAAAAACAATACATTCTATATGATTCCACTTATATAAAACTCTAGAAAATGCAGACTAATGTATAGTACTGCTCAATGGTTGCTAGGGAGGGGCAAGAGGATGAGATTACAAACGGGCATGAGAAATCCTTTGGAGGTGATAGATATGTTTACTACCTTTAATTAGGTGATGGTTTCAAAGGCATGTATATATGTATGTATGTCAAAATGTATCACTTGTACACTTTCAATATGTACAGTTTAGTGTTTATCAATTACAACTCCATGAAGTTGTTCTAAAAGAAAAGATATATATATGCTTGAAAGCATACTATGTATACAATTCTGTCTTCTACATTTTTCCCAACTAGGAGCATCTGATGAGCATTTCCCCATGCCCCTAAAAATCCTTATTTCAACATAAGGATGCATGATAATTTATTTACTCTCTTTTCTATTGTTAGTCATTTGAGTCCTTTGCCTATTTTTCACACGTTTAAATGACACTATATGATGAACATGGAGAAGCCTTGGTGGTGCAGTGCTGAAACACTTGGCTGCTAACCAAAATGTCGACGGCAGTT